AAGTCGTCAAATAGCGCGCATAGTGTGCAGTATGCATATTAAGTTACAAATCTCGAAGTTGAATGAAGTAATAGTTCGACAGTGATATCCAGTTTTCAGAGCGACATATCATCAGACGAAAAGAAAAACTCAGATCGATGGCAGAGTTTGCTTTACAAAGGAAAATTGAGAGCACGACCCTTGGGTCGACGAAAAAGCCGCGATTCCTATCGGACACGGCGGCGACATCCAAGTGGAGATGTGCGAAAATCCACAGATTAATAAATATGAAACTCAAGGCTACGCACTGCACCTCACACAACATAAAAGCACAATATAGTAGAAACAAAAGAGTCTGAGTATGAACGGTGCGGCAAAATGTTTACTCTTTGATTTTATGCACTACGGACGCATGAAGCGCTCTTGCTTTCAGTAAATCAACTATTAGATTTTACCCTGATTTGGTGAAATACTGAATGAGGTCGCTTTATCGAAGCATGCAAACTGTTCATAAAATGGAACAAAATCTATCTAGCATCGTTTTTATACAATAGTTTTATCCGAAATGTCGTTCTCGATAAGCATCAATTTCTTTCAGTGTAATAGGTCCTCCGACCATATTCAACCTTGGGTCGCCTTTCTTCAGCAAAGCTTCAGCCTTGTCTACAAAAAAATGCAGTTATTAGAAAAATGACGCTATAGTAAAAGTAGATACCTTTAACCACTTCATGATTTTCTCCAAACGCGTTCTCATACCTATATCCGGCCCACATGACTAGCGGTGCAATAGGGATGGCAAAATCCTGCATTGGATTGATCTTTCCAGATCCAAAAAATCATGACCACTTACCTTCCTCTTCGTGATAGACCCTGCTGCTAATAAGATACACGCCATGGATGTTGCAGCGGCAAATTCAAATGTGAAGAGGTCTTGGTGCCTCACCAACTGGAAAATGAATGTAAACTGAAAATTTAGAAAAAAAGAACCAACGAGGACGACATACCTCCAAGGCTCTTTTTTGGGCAAAGTCAAGATTCTTGAGAGCAGCTTCAGATTCAATCTAAAATTTTAAGGTTTTCATACACGAATTGTCATAACTACCAAAAAAAAATGAACCATCAATTAATATATTGCGAGTGTAGCAACAGTTCTGAGTTGATTATCTTGCTGCGCAGAACCTACCTCCGAGAGATACTTTTCATGCATATTGTGTTTACGATGCAATACACACAAATTACTTGATTGAAAGAGGAAATGTAAATAAAATTAAAAGTAAAGATAAATACTAATTATGAGT